GAATGTGCGGCGGCCATATTGGCCACCGACATGTTCTGTGAATGCGTGCCACCATCTTGGAGGTGGGGAGCATGACGTTACATGACGCCATATGCGTGGCGTCAGGTGATGTCACACGCCGATATTGGCCCCACCATCTTGGTGTATACCTAGATATACACCAAGATGGCGGCGCCCAACACGTGCGGTGTTATATGACTTCATGCACCCTGCCTCCAGAACACACCAATGGCTGAATTCAAAATGGCATTTGTTTGATGAAATGAATGAAAAGTTTTTAGTTTTCGTTCATTTGATCTGAAATTAATTTTTAGTCTTCGCACATGTCTAATAATGTGTGTGTGTTTGTGTGTGTTGGTTGGGGGGGCAGTTTTGACTTTTTTAAAATATTTTTTTTTCTATTTTATTTATTATTTTGTACTGTTGGGGGGGCTTCGGGGAAATATTAGGAGGGGTCCAAACACACCCCTGACATTTCTCTTTTAAAATAGAAAAGAAATTGAGGACCCCCAAATCCTCAATTTCTGTTTCAGCAGCCTCAGCGCTCAATGAATGGAAAGCACTTGGTACAGATTTTTTAACATAAACCAATACTGTAATGTGTGCCTTACTGTAATCCATGGTAGTTTCCCTTCTCTTTGCTGCTCTTCCTTTTTAAATCTGTATCTCTTCTCATGCTTGGGGAGAACTTCCCTTTTGCAGCTGAGTGCCTCTTCCTGTAGTGCTGGCTCAGGTTGCAAGCCTACACACAGACACCATGTATCCATTCCAGAGACAAGGCAGTCTGCTGCAAAACAGAAGTTCTGCAGAGCATGAGAAAAGATACAGATTTAAAAGGAAGAGCAGCAAAGAGAAGGGAAACAACCATGGATTACAGTAAAGCACACATTACACTATTGTTTTATGTTAAAAAAATCTGAGGGTTTAATGTCACATTAAGGTGGCCATACACTGTACAACCCTTGCAAGACTTTTGTCTTGCAAGTAATAATAAATGTACGATCTTCCCATCTTGGACAGGCAGGTCGTACTTGCGCTCATCGCAAGCCCGCCCCACTGAGAGGCGGGCTTCCGATGACTGCAATGCTGAAGGGCAGTGTGCGCGTGCACACACCGGCCCGTTCGGCAGTTGTCGAGCAAACATGCCACTAACCCCCCGAGAATCGTACGATTCTCGGCGTGTTTTCCTGCCTGCTTGTTCGACGGAAGACGTGCGATCTTACAGTAGAATCGTTTGAACGCCTTCCATACACTTTGCGATTATTGTACGATAATCGTACAGTGTATGGGCACCTTTTACATTCACATCCTGACATTTCACTGCCTTCTAATGGCAACACTGGACACTGATTGCCCTCCACAGCATATAGCGAACTGTTGAAATTCACAATGTAGTTATGTTTTCCTGCTGTCAAAGTCAACAACAGAAATTACAATATAATTGTACAATCTTCTAAGATGAGGCGGAATTTAACAGGAACCCTAATTTGTGGGGCATGCAAGTTTTAATCAGAAATATATTGGAGGAATCTAAATGCAACAGTGATGGGATTTAAGTCCGTCATAATGCGTGTTTTATTTGCATTTGTATGTTGTGATTGTATGATTTTTACATTATGCCCCTTGTTTTATTAGGATTCAAAAATATATATATTTTCTTAATGGTGTATTTAAAAAAGAAAAGCAGCAGAGCCTGCATTCCTTTAGGCACACATAATCTTAGAAAGTATATGTAATTTTGCAATGGTAGAATCCTGGTGCTGGTATGTTCTGTTACAGGAAAGATAAATCAAGGGTTTAAGGTGCGATAATATGAGGGCATGTATATTAGGATTTGGATCACTTGGGGGCTGATGTATAAATCTTTCACCCAGCAGAAAAGCTGGGGTATGCCGTTTGCACAACATTACCCACTCTAGATGGAGCCGAGGAGATTAGGAAGTACACAGTGTGAGCAGGGTTTAAAGTGGCCATATACAGCTTGAATTTTGGCAAATTCCTGCTGAATCAGTCAAAAATGGCTGTTGGTGGCCCGTCCGCATTTGACAAAACTCAGTTTTTCGACTCTTGTCAAAGGAGCTAGTCCAAAACAGCTGAACGGCGTCTGTATCCAATCAGCTTCAGTCACTGTTGGAGGTATTCAACAGCCGCAGCTAAATACCCAATCAGACTGTTTAGCGAGGAAAGGGAATCAATAGGTTTGATGAAGAGAAAGGTAATTGCATAGCCAGCTTTTAGGATAACTCTGAACCAGAAGCGCTGAGCTGAAACCTGAAGTATCACTGACATTTGTATGGTAGCTCAGTGCAGACTTCTAGGGGAAGCAGTCACACATCAGGACACTTCTGGGCAGTTCTGTACACCTATAGTGTGCACAATGTTTCTAGGTTGGCATACTGCAAGGAAGAGACATCTGGATCTTCTGATGATTTTTGAAAAATCGGTGCCTGTGGATAGAAATGCAAAGGGAGTTTTTACTGATCTCATAAAAGAGTCCATTGACTTTCAGCCAGGGCAGACCTCACCTGTAGATTTGTGATAAAAAGGATCTGCAGAGCACAGTCATTGTGCAGTATTCTTAAGGACCTGTTCATTCCCTTTAGCATTTCCAAACATTTCGTAGCAGTCTCAGAATTTGGGAAATGCTTGGAAATTGCCAGTTATTGTTTGGATGGGGGACTGTTTACACTGGAGTATTACATTTACGGGCTTTGTGAAAGCCTTCCATATGTAGCACATTCATGTCCTATCCAAACATTTAACCTGTTGTAGGTTATCCAATTTCCCAAATGTTGCTTGCAAGCAATTTTATTATTCTAGAACACCCCAGTTCAGGTAATGGGGTGACTCTCCTAAGTGTGGAAACAGATAGCGATAAAAATTTGGCAAAGGCTCTAACCCCTCCCTACACTATCCCAAAAAAAAAAAAAAAAGTTTGCCTTGACATAAACTTTAAAAGTGAACCTGTTGCTTTGCCCTGCCTGGGCAAAACACAGATTCCCTTTGAGCTGATGTAATGGGACTTTATTTCCAGTTTTGACTTGAACCTGTTGGTGAAGGAAATTACTAAGCTATACTGCAGCTGCTGATTAGAAAGCTGAAGTTGGTATTTGCATTAAAGAGCGCACAGGTTTTGGGTTCCCAGGGTTATCATTGGGAGGAAGTCTGCAGCTAGTATAGTCCGCTCTATGTCCTGTCCTTACACTACCAATTCAGTCTGCTTATACTTGAACCATATCTTTTACTTCTCTGCTTTGTGAGCTTACACATGAAAATAAGAAGCTGTTTTGTTTCCCTCCTTGTGCAGAGAACTGGTTTCTCTTGTCATGTTCTGTCTGGGGGCAGGGAGCTTTCTTTCTAGCATTCTTTAGGAAGCAGGGAAGGGAGAGTGATGTGATAAACATCTTACTAGAGTTGCCTCTGATTTCTAGACGGCTTTGTTTTGTTACTCTTCTGTTAAAAAAACAAAACAAAATGTGTGTGGTAGTAGTAATAATTTGGAAGCCTGTAGCCGTGTGTTGTGTGCCTACAGAGCTGAGGCATTGTCAATTGTTACTGTTTTGCACATGTACAAGAAAATATGTGCATTTAGAATTTGCTGAGTGAGTAAGATTTCGAAGATAGCAGCATAAACATGTGAGGTATACTGTTCATACATGTACCAATAAATGATTATAGATGCACTTGATTTAAAGGATCTTGAAAAGCAATCATTTGACTCCATAAAGTTCACATTGGTTGAATTTTATTGCATTCAATTGTTCTAATATGTTTATTGCAAAAATTAGCTAAATGTTGGTGGGCAACTCCGACCCTCCAGCTGTTGTGGTACTACAAGTCCCATGAGGCATTGCAAGACTGACAGTTACATGCGTGACTCCCAGAGGTATGTTGGGAATTGTAGTTAAAGCACAGCTGGAGTGCCAGAATTGCCCACCCCTATTTAAGCACTAGCATCTTTTCTGATGCCAGAAGACACATAAGCAGATGATTTGATTGTGGAAAAGGGGCCCTGGCATAATTGGGGTCCGAAATATTCAGTTATAAAACAAATGTGCTGAGAAATCAATTTGTACGGTTTATATATTATAAGGCCCCTTTCACACGGGCAGTCCAATCGGGTCCGCCTGTCAGGTTTTTCAAGCGGACCCGATTGGATGACCAATGCAAGTCTATGGGCATCCGTGTGTAAACAGACAGGCGTCCATTTACACCCAGTTACCCCCGACTCCGGCCAGGTCCGGAAAAAAACAAACAGATCAGAGATCCGTTTCGTTGGACACGACCGTGCCATATCGGGGGTAATCTGATGTAAACAGACACATGTCCATTTTTATCCAATTCCCCATACACAGACATGGGGGCCGGTCATTTCAGTTCTTTCCTCCATTGCAAGATGAAGGAAAAAAACTGTACGGACACAGACGTCACAGCGGTGACATCCGCTCCATGCCGCTCCGATCAGGAGGGGGTCCGTGCACTGATCAGCCTGTGTGAAAGGGCCCTTCTCGCATATTTTTCCAGATTTTGAGAGACAAAAGTTACCGGCACATCCATATAAACGAATGAATGTGATGTCTAACACCAAATTAAAATGTAACTTCTCTGCCAGCATACATTTCTATTTGAAATGATGCTTTCTGGTGGTATTGCTTTATAAAGAGGTATAAATATTTGTCTGTAGAATCTCTAAAATCTGAATAAATTTGTAATCTAGCTAGCACTTGTCATCTGTCTGCTGGCTGATCTATTTGTCTCTCTCACAAACACACACATACACAATCATAGGTCATTGACTATTGTTGGGATTGTTTGTGAGGATAAAGGCAAATAATGTGATCTTCCAGTTCCCTCCTGATTCTCTGCTCTGTTGCACAAGATTCAACAGTCAGACAAGGCAAAGCTTTAGTGTCCTCTATAGGAAGAGGAGGAGCAGAACTTGGCTTGGATGAGGGGGTTGGGAAAGGAAGAATTACCTTTCTCTTACTCTGAAGCAGTGTGTGTTCGCGAGAACTGCATCATCCGGGCTGCTGTACACTGGTTGAGAATGCCATGATGTCAGCGTGTGTCTCACCAGCATTACCTGCCCTAGTGAGGAGGGGACAGGTCAGGCTCTCCTCCCTGCATGATATTTCAGGGTGGTAACTTCCTGCTTTTGAGTTCAGTGAAGAAGGGAACGTGAGCAAGCAAAGTAGGTGTACCTCCCTCCCCCTTGCCACAAAGTCTGGACTGACGGATTACAAGAAAAAAAAAAAAAAATCTGGCTGAAGCCTTTTTATTTACATGAGTGGGATTCTGCTTTGAAAAGCCATGCTAGAGGACATAGCAGCAAAACGTCATGATCATCCTGACTGTATGAACCCCCTGCTTTCACATGAGGTCTGTAAACAGTTTCATTTCACGTATCTTTTCTGCTGAATGACCTAGTGTTTAGTGTGCAGTTATATCAAAGTTTGTATACCTGTTAGGTTACTATGTATTTTGGAGGTATTGAAGTTACATGTAATACTATAGTATGCATACACAATCGGCATACATTTATGATTGAAGCGAAAAGGTTACAGCACTTTTGAAAAGGATTGTGTTAATTGTGGTAACTACAATTTGAAGTGTTCAGTGTGCTGGTGTCATTCGGTGTCTGTAACTTAGTTTGGTTTATAGATTACTTTTGATCTTCTTGCTCTGACGTGCTAGCTACAGCACTAATATTTGTAAAGCTGTCCTGTTTATTCATGAGTTAATCTAGTATCTCACCGTGTAAATTGATTTTCAGGAGGGGCCATTAGCTAGGGTTGAAGATAAAGCACTTTGTAGGCCTTGCGAGAGCAGTGTTAATAGTAAAACGAAGGTAACGCATTGACATTGTCCTCTTGGCCATGGAGTTTGTGAAACTGACAGGTCATTCCATAGTAAAGGAATGTGTTTTTTCTTCCCCATTTTTATGTTGATAGCATAACAAAACTGCTACTATTTATCACCATCTACAGTCTCTTTGCTCAATGTGTATTTTAATCTTTTCTGATTTTGAATAATAAAGGGTCTTGCCGTCTGTGGAAGTCAAATGAACTTGTTGAAAGTTAAGAAAATTAGGTCTATTGCCAGTCAGTTGCTCTCCTTCCTTTTTCTTTTCAGTTCAAATTAACTTGATACCGTGAATCAAATTTCCTGTTCTTGTATAGCTTGTTTGTTATTTAATTATGATGGATTCATAGATAAACTTGGTAAACCATTTCCAGTGTGTTGTAAATTGTGTCCATGGGCACATACGTTGGATGTTAGAAGTGGTGGTTGATTTCCTGAAACAGTCTTTTTTTTTTTTTTTCTGCCAGGTGATCACAAATCTGTCTCATTGAAATGCTGTTTGATAAAAAATGATTGAATGCGCAGGAATAGACTGCGGTGTCTGGTGATCTGCCAATGTTTGGAAAATTGCCAAATAATACTACTTTTCATTGTAGAGGCCTAGATGAGAGTCTATAGGTGCTCATACACCTTACGATTATCGGACAAAACTTTTCGTCCAATCGAATAGTCGTACGATTTTCGTACGGCAGCCCCATCCTGCCCCGATCGCAAGATTAATTTAGCCGTAATTAACGAAAAGCACCTGGACGAAATGCGGTAATTGATTTGCAGTATTTTTGTTAGCGCAGTGTAGATACTACGACTTTTGACGGACGGAAACGCCAGCAACCTTACGACAATCGTACGATCTAGCAAAGTTTTCAAACATGCTTGACCGTCAAAAGTCGTCCGATTGTACAGTACTGTCGGTTGGAGACTGCAATGCACACATACGATTATTGGCCGAAAAGTCGATCGCATGCGAAAATCGTCCGATAATCATAAGGTGTATGGGCACCTTAACTTTAGCCATTTTTTAATTTGATGCGACTGCATTGTGGATATATCGTTCTAGTAAAAGTTTTAATCCCATAGTTGTTTTCCAGGACTGCATAGGAGACAGAGGCTCCTCCAAGTACATAAAACCTTTTGCATGGTCAAATGTTTAAAAGAGGATCTTTTTACTCTCTCCTCAGTTTTTGTATTGCCTGCTGTGTGTGGCATGGTCTCACTACTTTCTTCAGTGCCTAGTGGAGGCCTTGTCTAGAGGAGACTCTCTTCCTTAACAGGGACTTCCATGCATAGGTGGCTATGATGTGGTTGTGGTGTTTCCAGTCATTCTACCTCCCTGCAGTGTGTGACAGCTGGGGCATGTGCAATAGCCTGCAAATGTGCCATGGGGGGGGGGTTATCGCAGCTTTATCCATTCCTGTTTGACGCCAGACATCACTTTCAGGTTGGCTTGCATCATTCCAGTTGCTGAAGGCTTTGGTCTGTAGCCTTATTTTAAAAGCAGGAGGAAGAGGAGAGCCAGAGTATGTTGCCAATGCTTGATGTACCTGTATTTTGTTTCCTTGGTTGCGCTGCCTATATTTGTCACCTGGGACCCCTTGGTGTTGGGCTTTTGTGGCGGGGCACTGTTGGCCTCTCCCCATGTGTGTCTTCGAAGGAGTTGGAGGCATGTCATATTCCACTGCTTTGCTGATTTCCTTTCAGACCAAGGCCTTTGAGAAGTCTAGAGTGAACATCCCCAAAAAGGAAATGTGCTGTATGTGACTTCAAGTTGAAAGGCACCAGGGCATAGGCCTCTGCCAATCGTACTTTACTAATGCACTTAAAGAGGAATCTGCTAATGTCTACAGCAACTTCCTCTCGTCTGTTAAGGAGGAATTCGTGTCCACCTTCAAATCTTTCAGGTCCCGTTTTGCCGACATGAGATCTGCCTCTGTGCCTAAGGCTGGTCATACACCTTGCGGTTATCGTTACATGTTTTTCTGCACAAATACCACGTCATGCACAGACCAATGTGGATTTCAATTATCATTCGATAGCAATACTAACTGACCAAATTTCGTCGATCGACAGAATGGATTTTCGTTCGCCCATGCACATTGTCCATGTTGCAATTTTTTTTTCTCCCCCCTGTTTGAAAGTGGCACTAATCCATCGATTTTCTTACGATTCAAAAAAAGTTTTCCAGCCAGACCTAAGGAAATTTGGCCAGTTGTACAGTTAAGCCCGTGACACACTGCACACAAAACCATGCAGAGCGAAGCAAAGCTGTCAGGCATGGAGCAGTGTGTGAGCCGAGTGCAGGCAGATGAATGACGGCACCTTAAGCCAATCGGCTCGCGCGTAACAACCGGCTGGACTTCGCATCGTGACGCGCGGGGTTTATATGTGCAATCCGATTGGCTGAAGATGAAAATATTTATCTCGGCACGTTCAGCTATGCGAGCTCTCGCAAGCTGAAGTTCCGGAGAGAAAATTACATGACACACTGCACGTGAAGGCAGCCCGCTCCGCGTTTAGTTTGTCACAGCCTTAATACTGTTCGATCACTTCCCATCAACTGGCCGATTTATCATACGAAAACCTGATCTCGTTCGGAAATCGAACGATAATCGCAAGGTGTATGGGCACCTTAAAGGATAATTATGAGGTGAGTGATTTTCACACAGCCTCATAATCTGAGCCGACCTGTGACAATGAAACTGTCACAGGTCGGCTCAGTAGATCGGGAAGGGAGCGAACAAATACCAGCGCTTGCTCACTTCTCGATCCTGTGCCGGCAGAGAGGTGAAGGGGAAGGGACTCTATTCCCCCCTCCCCTGTTCGATCCTCCAGCGCTGACTGACAGGGGAGGGGGCGGGTACAGCTAGCTCTGCCTCTAGGTAGGCAGAGCCAGCTGTCACTCACGCAGCTGGGTGGATCCAGACATAATTGTCGTGATCTGTTCCGGCTGCGGTGTCTCAGTATACCGCGAGCTGCGGCGTCTCAGTATACTGAGCTTTGGGTAACGGGAGGACGCTAGTTTGTGTCCTCCTGTTACCCTTAGGAGAACCATGGGGAAAGCCCTAACCCCATAGTTCTCCTTTTTGGTCCCCATCTCATGTGTTGTCAGTTGTACGGGAAATTTTGCTTAAGATGGATAATGCAGAGGGATTAGTGACCCTGGTCCTTTTCAGAATGGCGTGACAACGCTCCGTTCAGCATTTCCAGATTCAAGCTATCTAGAGGGTGCTGATAACCTACTCGGGGCCATCTATGGTACCTTAGATATTCATAAGGAGAAGGTTACGTTGTCTAAGCACGATTAGCGGTATCAGGGTGTACAGAAGAAAAAGAGCAGAGTTTTTCCGGTGCACAAAGTGTTGTCTTGTTCCATTCGCAAGCAGTGGACTGATCCTGAGAAAAAAAGGCCTTTTTCTCTAGTCACCTTCCAGGACAGCATTAGAGAGAGAGGCTCCTCCCACCGGAAACAGGAAACACATCACCCACACCTAGAATAAAAAGAGTACCAGCCTAGCACACCTCAGTTATTTTGTGTTTCCTCCGGCCGAGCAGGACATCGTAACGTTTGTTATTTTTTTCCTAGGCCAACGTGCTAGCGAGCAGGGAACTCGCCGCGGGCGTCTGACGTCACTTCCGGGTGCGAGGGTCATATGATCCGGCGTCTCCAAGCCTCAGTTAACGCTCGGCCACGCTACAGATGGCCAACACAGTGGAAACAGTGAGTCGCAAGGCCCTTGCGGTGCCCACACACGCAAGGGGGGGCATCAATGGTGGGGCACAAGAGCTGGAGTCGGAGGGGCCAGGGGGCTCAGCTGGAGACTCTAATACCATGATGGCATCAATTGATCTGGGGGATCTTGGTGCCGGCAGCTCTAAGGTAAGAGAGGGGGAGTTCCCCACTCCTTTTACCGGTTATTTTCTCAGGGTTGGGGGCATGAGAAATGGGGTGGACAAGTACCTGGTAACTCTGTTTCTAGGAACCTTCCAGGACAGCAGGGATTCCCACCCGATTAATGGTGTGGCTTGCTGCGAGATGCCGTACTTTGTGGCTTGCTGCGAGATGCCGTACTTTGTGGCTTGCTGCGAGATGCCATACTTTGTGAGATTGAAGTACATATATACATATGTATAAATTCTGTATGTGTACATCTTCCATGAGACGGAGTTAGTGATGTGGTATCCTTCGGTTCTTATGTTTTAACTGAGGTGTGCTAGGCTGGTACTCTTTTTATTCTAGGTGTGGGTGATGTGTTTCCTGTTTCCGGTGGGAGGAGCCTATCTCTCTAATGCTGTCCTGGAAGGTTCCTAGAAACAGAGTTACCAGGTACGTAACTCCAATTTTCTTCTATCAGCCTGAAACATTGGTTTACTTTTGATAAAGATCCAGCTCTGGAGTAAGTGCCCTGCCTGGATGCTTCCCTTTCTAAGCTCTATAAGACTGTAAAACTTCACTTTTGAGTATATGGGCATTCTGAAGGACTTGTGGACAGGAAGTCTACCTCAGCCAGGAGTGAAGAATT